AGTTCAGTCGTGTCATTATAGCTCACTGCAACCTCAAACTCCTGGGCTCAAGCCATCCTTATGCCTCAGCCTCCCGAGTAGCTGGGACTATAGGATAGGACTATAGGCACACCATTACACCCAGCTAATTTTTTACATTTATGTAGAGACGGGGTCTCAATATGTTGTTCAGGCTGGTCTCGAGCTCCTAGACTCAAGCAATCGTCCTGCCTTGGCCTCCGAAAGTGCTGGGATTATAGGTGTGAGCCACCATGCCAGGCTAAGTTCTTAATTTAAAAAAACAAAAGGCAATGACCTTCAGAGCCACAGTGTTTCCTGATTCCACTATTCGTCCTGATGTGAAAGCTGGTCTTGGATACACAGGGAATCTGAATAAATTAAACCCTAATAGGCCAGTTTTTGCCAGTGGCAAAACTGGTCTCCTACCAAGGCCACATAACCCGGGCAAGGTGCAAGGTCCCCTTCCTAGGAACAAACTATGTCAAGAGATCTGGGGGATTGTTTTAAACACTCAGCACCTCTAAAGCACTAAGCTCCGTTCCTCAGTGCTCAACCAAGCACAGTGCAGCAACAGCTCCTTCAGTGGAAGGGACTCAAAACAGGTGCAACACACAAAACAGCAGCATGCCAGGCAAAGGCAGCCAGCCGGGAGCAGAAAACAGGCCTCCTGCTGGGCCAGTCCTGCTTTCCGTGAACAATGAATAATACTTTTCTTTTTTTCCTTTCCTCCCTATCCTCACTCTTGGAAAAAATAATGAAGAAGGCAGACCTCAACCTGAGGTAAAGAAGGCAGCAGTGAGCCCCCAACTTCTCCTCAGTGAGATAATACAGGTATGAGCTAAAACCAGGAAAAGCTTCATGCCTTTCAAATCAATGCACAAATATCAGAAAAATCACCAAACTACATTGCTTTGGCTCCATAATGAACAAGGTTTGTTCTTTGGTCTGGGAAATGGTGAAATGAGAACTACAAGTCACATACCACTGGCCAGGCAAGGCTCTGTTGGGCCTTTCAATGCATCCAAAGCTCAGGTAGGTTCGTTAGCGTGAAGCCTGAAAGGCCCCAGGGAGATGTCTACCTTGACCATCCCAAAGATTCTGTTACATCCAAGAGAGATGTCTCCCCTTCCCCACATTCCTGGATCTGAGTCCTCTGTGCCAACCTAGATTTCAGGGGAACAGCATGAGGCACAGGCCTATAACTGATACATGACGTAAGTAGTATATGGAAGATGCTCTGATATCCACCAAGGATACAAGATTATCTGGAAATCTGGACTGCTTTAGTGTGGAGAGGCTCCAATTAGTTACTTTATAATCTCTCAAAACTGTCCTTGGAAAACATTAATAGTAAAGATTACAATCCTAAGGAGCCAGGAGTGGCAGAGTCCCACCCCTGGCCCCATTACTTTCTCCCCACCACGGTTACCTGCAGTGCAGATGTGGCAAGATGAATGTGGGGCCCAAGCAATGCCATTGACACATGCTCGGTGGTTATTTAACCTGGCAACAGGTGTGCAGGGAACTCGGACATCCAGAATCACCACCTGCAAAAATAACAAGCAAAAGGTCCAGGAGCTTCAGAGTTTCACAGAGAAAGCAAACAAAAAACACCACACACACAAAAATTTTGTTTTTTTTTTCCTTTTGAGACAGAGTCTAGCTCTGTTGCCCAGGCTAGAGTGCCTAGCTCACAGCCTAGCTCACAGCAACCTCAAACTCCTGGGCTCAAGTGATCCTCCTGCCTCAGCCTCTCGAGTAGCTGAGACTACAGGCATGCACCACCATGCCCAGCTAATTTTTTCTATATATTTTAGTTGTCCAGTTAATTTCTTTCTATTTTTAGTGGAGATGGGGTCTCACTCTTGCTCAGGCTGGTCTGGAACTCCTGAGCTCAAACGAGCCGCCCGCCTCAGCCTCCCAGAGTGCTAGGATTACAGGCGTGAGCCACCGCACCCGCCCCACACAAAAATTTTTAAGCACAACTTTTTAATTTGTGGATTTAAAAAAATATTAGAGAGAGGATTTTCTTAGGATTGAGGGAAAAAAAAACAAAGGACACGGGTAGTTTATGGTCTGTATCTTGAGCAACACCAGGTCTTTAGACTGACAGGGAAGGGGAGAAGTAGGGGTGGGTAACATGAGTTTGGAGAATCCACCAAGTCCTGGTAGGGGCATGTGATAAGAATTCTGTGCATCTCTGTTGAACAGAATGAGCCCCGCCATGGCAGAATCTGAGGCACTAGCTTTACCAAACCAAGGTTAACTGCTGTATCATTTCTACCCACAATTCACCACTTTTATCAGCTAAAAGATTACAGAGAGAGCTGCCATGTCTATGGTCTGTTTGATAAAGCTGGATGAATCTGCCCAGACTACAGAAGGGGAAAACTACTTGTTTTTTTCACTCAACACCAAAAGCACACATGATTTGCTTTACTCTTTAGACACTGCTTTTCTTGGCTCCAACTCTCCAAGTATTGAAAGTTCTTAACACATTGTCCTTGTTCTAGATCAGGCTTTCTGAATCTCGGCACTACTGACATTTTGGGTAGGATAAGACTCTGTTGGGAGGCTGTCCTGTGCACTGTGGGATGGTTAGTAGCCTCCCTGGTCCCTACTCACTAGATGCCGGTTGTACCACCTGCCTTCCCCTGAGTTATGACAATCAAAAATATCTCCAGACATTCCCAAAGATCTCCTGGGGGCAAAACTGCCACCAGCTGAGAACCACCCTTCTAGATATACTAAGCAGTGTTGGAGTTAAGTGGCAGGGCCTATGTTAGCTTGAGCAGGGTACTCACCTCCATTCCATCCATGGCCATGGTAGCCAGGTAGTTAGGGTCCTGCTTGTTCCAGCAGAGGCGAAGCAGCGGGTGATGCTGCGGGTCTTCGTAAATGATGGTACTGTGTTCTAGATGGCGGAGGTCAAACATCCGCACCGAGCCATCAGCGCCCACAGAGGCAAACATGTCTCTGCCACCTCCAGCCCGGCTAAATGCAATATCATAGACCTGTTGACGAATAAGAAGCTTCAGTCAGATTCACATCCATTGCGTCCTTTTCCCAAAACAGGGAAATCTGCCATTTCCAGTTCATCTAAATTCCAGCTCATGACACCGAAATAGGTAAATGAAGCCCAAACAGTGTCCTGTGAGTACTGGACCTGAGAGCTCTAACATCAGTGGTTTCCCAAAAAGTGAAGATCATTGTGCTATAGAAATTGGCTTGCTTCTTCCCACATTTCTGCTTTCCAAGTCTTCTTCCTGCAACCCCTATAATAAAACAAAAGGCACATATCCTACCGACCAATAGAGCAGTGGCTGTCTTCTGCCATGCTACAAAAATAAGACATTTTCTGGGCCTTGCTGGCTTTCGCTTGTGCACAGAGGCAGGTCCATGACCACATTAAGGCCGAGATCATCAATCTGAGAGGTAGAACAGCCAAGCTGATTCTACTGTGAAACCTGGACCTCAGACTCACTTCCAAGAATGACTCCTGGGAGGCCTGTGTGTTTCTATATTCACAAATAGGTTTAAGTAGCACTCTTTTATCTTAGGACATGTTGTTTCTTCTCCTAGTTGGTGTGTACCCATAAATGAATCAATTTAGGTTTGAATCATTGTTTCCTGCATTTATTATTTGCTGCAAACATTCCATATCACTAATGTCTACGAGGAAACAGAGGCAGAGAGCAATGGAGAGCTTCAGAGAGAGGGGGACAAAGAGCCAGAGCCAGATAAGTGGAAAGAGAGACAGACACAAACAGAAAAACAACTGCCAAATAAAACCCATCTTCTGGGGTCAAGAATAATCACAGCTGACTTCTGGGGAGACATGAGTGGAACTTCTCACTAAGTACTGTAGCTCCAGCCTTCCTGAGGTTCTGCCTACTGAGGGACACTGCCAAACGAGCTTCCATTTCTAGTCAACCTCATAAATTCCTTTTTCTCTGGCTGACTATGAATAAATTATGCTTCCCTTTCTATGACAGGAATTAGAAGTGGTTCAAAAGGGACTGGGCCGGTCATCAATAAGGAGGTGCCCAGGCCTGACAGATCAAGGCTTTGTCTAGTACTGTCCAGCTACTTTAAGGCAGAGGCATATTTATCAGTATGTGTATCCCACAATGCCACTCTTGGTAACCTTTAGGGACAGAGATTCTACAGGTGCCCATGGAGAGTGTGGCCAAGTGCATAAAGCTCTTTCAGTTTTAAGTGACTGCTCCTTCACCTGTGCTCCAGCAGTGTGGTTCATGAGAAGTGAAGGGAAGGTGACAACTCCCAAGTGTACTAAACCTTCTCTACTCTGATCTGCCAGGTAGCAATGAGAGCCTCCCATACGACTCTTTTCTTAAAGAGAGGAGGACTGAGAAAAATCAAAGGTGCTAGGAGGTGTGACTACTTCTCTAAAGCCACCATCCTCGGGTTCATTCATTCAAGGCCAGGGCACTGGTCCAGGCCTGTGTGCTTCTAAGATCCATTCCTGGCTGTTTTCCCTATTCTTCTTTGTATCACAAGAGAACTAATTCACACAGGCTGAGTTTGGCAGGGTCCTAGGTCTGCTGGCTGCTTCTGGCTGGTTCAGCCATGGGAGGCCCTGAGGGGAAACTGCATGGTGGGTGGCAGGGAGAAACTAAGGTATTTCTCCTCCCCTCTCTCTGCTCCCAGAAGCATCTCTGCCAGGTAACCCTGCCTCCTCCCTTGGCCCCTCTAGCCCACAGGCAGTAGCAGCTTCCTCCTGTTCCTATTCTCTAGATTATCTCACTGCTACTTACATGGCTTCTCAGCTTTGCCATCACCTCTATAATCAATCCCTGGATTAAATTCCCTCAGTTTAAATACTTAGGAGTAGTTCCCATTCTCTGAGTTGGACCTCACAGAGAAAAGTGGGCTAAGTTGTCACATAACTAAAATGTAGCAACCTGTTCCACTTGATGCCAAGAGGGTTTCCAGAAGTTCCTTACTGGTCCTCTCTGCAGGACAAACTCTTCATCTGACCCTTGGTTTAGCAGCAGTCAAGTCCGGGAGTCTTGTAACAGATCTTACCCTTAGGAGTATAAAAAGCTGAAGAACAACCCCTGACTAAGCATGATCACCATTCTTGGTGATCACCACCCTCTTATTCTGGTCACCACCCTCTTATTCTGTTAAAAACTTCAAGTTTCTGACCTATGGTCAAGGCATTCTTTTTATCTGTACAGACATTAATACCCCTAGCTGTGCAGGGTAAGGTAGAAAAGAAAAGGAAACACTACCTACAGGAAATCAGAGTACCAGCATCATGCAATGGCTCTAGAAGGAGAAGATTTATGACCATGTTCCAAAATCACCTAGAAGAATGCTTTGCTTAAACCGTAGTCACAAATAGCTCTTCTCAGCTTTTCCAATAAAGAAGAAACATCACCATGAAAATAAAAATATATTCGACTGCAAATGGTAATAAAAGTATAAAGACTAAAGGAACATACTAGAATTTCATAAAACATTTTTAGAGAAAAATTGTTAATTAGGTTTGTCCATCAGGAAATTTTCTCTCTTCTTGTCTCCTTTCCCCCCCAAAAAGCTAATATGTTTCAAGGTAAGTGTTACTCTACAATTATTTTTTATTCACATCAGTTCCCAGTTTGTCTATAAGAGACTTAATTATTTTAAAAAAAAGTAACCTCTGGCATGAAAAGAAAAATCATAGATTGCAGAATGTCAATTACATCAGTTAAAAAATGCATTAGTTTACAACAGTGTTGTTTTGCACTGTTTTGGCACATTACTATTTTCAATTTAGATGTATGTTTTTCTAAGTAATTTGCAGAACAGTGAGAGAACTGCCTGATCTCTCACATTGAAGGCACAGCATGCATCTGAGGAAAGAAGAAAATGAAAAGCATAATTACCTCTTTGTCATGGGCGATCAGCTGGGTCTTCACATGGCCAGACACAAGATTCACTCGCCCCAATACCTGCCCTGTCTCCAGCCCCCAGATGGTGCAAGTTGTATCAATGCTTGAGGTGCCTGCAAACAACCAGTGCAAGTCAGGGGCTGAGGAGTGAGGTTCCTATGCAAGCTTCCCTCCTGTGCCTACTCATCTGCTCAGCCCCGGGGACAAGTGGCCACAAACACTTCCTGAGCACGGTGGCAGGTACCAGGAAAGCCGCAAAGAGAGTTAAGTACTCAATCTTCACCTTAGGACCTCAGAGTCCAACTAGAAAGACAAGATATAGACACAAGGAAAGCTCAACTCCATATAAAGAATTAATAGGCTGAGCGCTGTGGCTCATGTCTGTAATCCTAGCACTCTGGGAGGCCGAGGTGGGTGGATCACTCAAGGTCAGGAGTTCGAGACCAGCCTGAGCAAGAGCGAGACCCCGTCTCTACTAAAAATAAAAAGAAATTATCTGGACAACTAAAAATATATAGAAAAAATTAGCCGGGCATGGTTGGCGCGTGCCTGTAGTCCCAGCTACTCGGGAGGCTGAGGCAGAGGGATTGCTTGAGCCCAGGAGTTTGAGGTTGCTGTGAGCTGGGCTGAAGCCACGGCACTCTAGCCCAGGCAACAGAGTGAGACTCTGTCTCAAAAAAAAAGAATTAATAAACATTCCATACTTAGCCTATTTCCCACTTGGCCCTGTTCTAAGATAATGCAGGGACCTCAAAAGCCCCTGGTCAAAAAACTGGCCCATTGTTATATCTGAGAAAATGCTTCTTTAAGCTGGAATACACACTCCCTGACTCCCTTACCTAAAAGATAAGGATCCACCTCATTCCAGTCAAAGGAGGTCAGTGGAGCACAGAAATCAGAGTTCTTGTTATTGTTTAGCAAACATTCCAGCCTGGTCTCCGTTTCACCAACCTGAAGGAACAATAATTTTAAAAAGCAGCCAGTCTTATTCTCCTAAAAAGTCTTAAAAGCCCTATTTCGACAATATCTTAGTAAATATAAGACATAAGGGAAAAACATTTTTATCATAAAGAATAATAAACCCACAGGAACTCCCGGAATGCTACTTCCTTCCAAATTTTCTCCTCTGCCCAGCTTTGCTTTCTGAATTTCCATCCCACATCTTTCTAGAAGAGAGGTCTTCTCGCCCTTGATGGGTACCATGTCCCCAGGCTACAGGAGATACCCCTGACAAAGAGCTCAGCTGAGGGGAGAGGAGGCTCCAAGATCCACTCACATACTTCATTAGATCTAATGGCTCAGTATTTTGTTTAATTCACTCAAAAATATCTTGGCTGTAAACAGAATATGAGGTCCCAAGTATCCCCAACTACACTGAAAGCTGTCATCATCACATCAGGTTAACTGAGCCTCAGGTTTCCAGGGCTGACTACAGCCAGCAGCAAGACTGAAATCTGCTGAGCCGAACGAGGTCAGTCCAGATAAGCGTCACTTGCTTCTCCCATGCTACAATGACACTCACCGCCTCTAACCCAGTCTGTTCTCTGTGACTCCACACTGCTAACAGCTGACACTGAGAAAGCCCATTTGCCTGGCTGCTCATCAAGAATCTGCTTACCCTCCACACGCGCAGATAGTCACCACTTGTTGCCAGTAGGTCTGGATAGACGCCTTTTGTGTCAGGGATCCACATGAGCTTTGTGGTAGGATATGGGTGGTCAAAGGTATTCCGGCAAATAAACTCCGAACTCTCCTCATCTAAACCAACAAGCTGAACCTGTAACACACCAAAGTTGACCCGCATAAGCATTTGTTTTTCTGAAGCTGTATGGCTTGTTCCACCATTTTCTTTCAGAGTTTTCTGAGGAACAAAAATTTAAATTTTGATAACTTTGTCATTTCTTTTCTTTTCTAAGCTCATGCATTTTGTTTCCTGGCTAAGAAATCTTTGCCCAATCCCAGGTCACAAATATTTTCTCCGATGTTTTCTTCTAAAAGTTTTCTAGTCTTAGGCTTCGTATTTAGGTTTATGAGCCATTTCAAGTTAAATTTTTTATATGATACAAGGTATAAGTCAAATGTTGCTTTTTAACATATGAATGTCTGATTGTCCCAGTATCATTTGCCGAAAAGACTATCCTTTTTCCTTTGAATTACCTTGACCCCTTTATTGAAAATCAATTTACCATGTATATGTTCATCTATTTCTGGACTCTATTTTGTTCCATTGATCTATCTGCCCATTTGTTTGCCAGTATCTCACTGTCTTGATTATAGTAGCTTTCTAGTAAGTCCTGAAATCAGGTAGAATGAGTTCTCCAACTCTGTTCTTTTTCAAAATTGTTTTGCTATTCTATACTTTTGCTTTTCCATGTACATTTTATAATCAGCTCGTCAAATTCTACAAAACCCCTGCTGAGATTCTGATTAAGATTGTGTTGAATCTATAGATCAATTTGGGAAGAACTGCTGTCTTAACAATACTGACTCTTCCAACCCATAAACATAGCATATTTGTCCTTTTGTTTAGGCCTTCTTTACTATCTTTCATCAATGTTTTGAAGTTTTTGGTGTTTAGGTCTTGCAATTCTTTCATTAACTTTATTCCTAAGTAATTTTCATGCTATTATAAATGGAATTGTTTTTTAAATTCTATTTCCAGTTATTCACTGTTACTATACAAAAATACAATTGATTTTTGTACATTAATATTGGATCTTGTAACTTTGCCACATTAGTTATTAGTTTTGGTAGCTTTTTTGCATGCTCCTAAGGATTTTTCTTTGTATATTTGTAGATCTTGTCATCCATGTCTAACTTTTAAGAATCCGTATGATGGCTAAATCTAGATACTCATTTTATGGAGCACTCACAGACTTTCAAAAATCATATAATGTTAGGGAAGATAGTGTATAAAGATGTCAAAGGGGCCGGGGGTGGTGGCTCACGCCTGTAATCCTAGCACTCTGGGAGGCCGATGCAGGCGGATTGTTTGAGCTCAGGAGTTCGAAATCAGCCTGAGCAAGAGCAAGACCCCGTCTCTACTAAAAATGGAAAGAAATTAATCGGACAACTAAAAACATACAGAAAAAATTAGCCGGGCATGGTGGTACATGCCTGTGGTCCCAGCTACTCGGGAGGCTGAGGCAGAAGGATTGCTTGAGCCCAGGAGTTTGAGCTTGCTGTGAGCTAGGATGACGCCACGGTACTCTAGCCCGGGCAACACAGTTGAGACTCTCTCTCAAAAAAAAAAAAAAAAGATGTCAAAGGACACAAAACCCAGAGCCATAAAACACTTAAGATAGCAGTAAAAGTGATGTCACAAGGTAATACACGATTAGCTGCTTATTTATAACAGATAATAATCGGTAACAGTTCAGAGGAAAAAGCAGTAATTCAAACTAGGAAAGTGAGGAAAAGTGGAATTAGGATCTGAGCAGTCTTCAAAGGTGTATGGGAAGGATCTGGGTAGGCAAACAAGAAAGGAAAGGCACCCTTGGCAGGTGGAACAGAAGGCGCACATGCACAACAGTGGCAAACTGAACGACCCACTTGACGGCAGCAAGCAAATCTGTTTGAGAGAACCACGTGGGAGAGCAGTGGAGATGTAGCTTAGAAGGTGTGCTGAAGGAAGACTGGAGAGCTCGAAAGCCTAAGGAAGGTGGGCTTCCCTCATGAAGGTGTCTGAGAAGACAGTGGTATGGTTATGAGGCCTTTGAGGACAACACTCCTGGGTAATGCTGGGCAGGACAGACTGGCTCAGGGAAGAGGCTGGAGGCGGCGAGTCCAGAGGGGAACGGGAGGAAAGGCTAACTGCACGGATAACCAGGGATGGCCACAGGAGGGATTGTGACCAAATGAATAGTTCTTACAGGGAACTAAAAAGTTAGCATTCTGCCTTTGTAGAAAATAATATGTAAAGAAGGAAGATTACAGATGAAACAGGCAATATTTGGCATCAGTTCTCGTGGGGGAGAAAGAAAAGAAACAGAGGAGAGGCTAAATTCTTGGGCACATTGGGCAGAATAAAGAACAAGCCTCCAATATAGATTCTGAGCTATATATTTCATTCACGCATTCATTCAATAAATATTTACTGGGTAGCTACTAAGTGCCACCATGCACTGTTCTAAATGCTGGGGACATGGCAGCAAGCACAAAACCCAAAATCCCTCTCTGTAACCCTTCGCTAGCTCCACCCAAGGGGGAAGAACTACTGAAGTGACTGGCTGAAGCCTGAGACAAGCACGTGCGCCTAACCACTACGTCAGATGTGCCCCACAGCTCTCTTGCTCTGGCTCATTCTGCTCCTACATGGACAGGCAAATTGGCCTTCTCAGAATGGGTCTGGCCACCCTCCATTCCAGCTTCTCAGAACCTACGACTGGGTGGGGGAGGTCGAGTTGGGTCTGTCCTTGAATTAGAAGAGGAAAAGCAGGAAGTCTCACTGAGGCTTCAAGGCCAAGCTGCGTATTTCCCACTTAGTTTACCACACTAGAGGTGCTTGCTCACTTATTAATAGAACAATGCTAGGTTTCTCCTTTGGCTATTATTATTTGTATGTAATTTCCTCGATAAGAAGATTCCAGTGGAAAAGGGAGTTAGTGGTAGAATTTACACACCTGAGTTCTACCTGAACCCCTTATCATTATGTTCTCTATCATTTTCTTGCTCAGACTTACAAGTTCTATTTATTTTGATAATCTTTCAATTAGATTTATCCATTAAACGTACTTTTAGATTTTAAGAGGATTATAAAGTGTATCACCATTGTATAAAATCAAATAAAACATAGGTAGACATATTTTTAAAAGTTGGTGTTTTTTTGTTTGTTTTTGAGACAAGGTCTCACTATGCCCAAGCTGGTCTCGAACTCCTAGGTTAAAGTGATCCTCTTGCCACAGCCTCCCAAATAGCTGGGATAACAGGCGGGAACCACTGCATCCAGCAAAAAAAGTTAATAACTCCTCTATATACCATCCCCAAGATATCACATTATTAATTTGGTGTGTGTTGCTTCTACACTATTCTATATGGTCAAACATATATACACAGAAGTGTAAAGTTTTCCCTCAACTTTTAGAAAAATGGGATACTATAGCCAAGGCTATGATGAATCTTAACAAAATAACGGACATCCCTCAGGTGAACACACAGATGCAACTCATTCTTTTGTACCTTATTACATGGCTCAATGATTCCCCCCGTGTTGTATATTGTCTCCCTTTCTTGCCATTACTTTTCATTTATTTATTTATTTTTTTGAGACAGGGTCTCACTCTGCACTCTGTTACCCTCTGGCTGCAGTGCAGTGGCACCATCATTGCCCACTGCAACCTCCAACTCCTCAGCTCAAGCTATTTTCTCGCCTCAGCCTCACCAGTAGCTGGGACGACAGGCACGCACCACCATGCCTGGCTAATTTTAAAACATTTTTTGTAGAGATGAGGTCTTGCTATGTTGCGCAGGCTGGTCTCGAACTCTTGGCCTCAAGCAATCCTCCCACCTCAGTGTCCCAAAGTGCTGAGATTACAAGTGTGAGCCACCCCACCCAGCCTCCCGTACACATGTTTATATACTACTGTTTTTATTTCTGGAGGCCAAAGTCCCAAGAGTGGGAATTCTGTATTAGAAGGTATATACATTTTAAATTTTAATAGATACCATTTGCTTTGCACATAGGCTGTGGCGATTCACACTCCTACCAGCAGTGTGTAAAAGGGTGTTCATTTCTTCATACTGTTAACAGCACTAGAAGCAATAACTTAATTTTTATAAATTTAAAAGGGAAAAATAATACCCACAAGGTCAATTCTCATTTCCCTAACCTACCTATGAGGTTGAGCATCCTTCCTGTTTACTGATCACTTGCATTACTCTCCATGAACTAGCTATTCATACTCTTTGCCCATTTTTCTATCACACTAAGTGAATTAGCTTCTATTGTCTGTCATGTTTTGAAAATATTTTACTGTCTTTTGACTTTGTCCATGGTATATCTTTTCATAGAGAAACTTTTTATTTGCATGTACTACGTAATCTGTCACCCTTTTCCTTAGTTGACTCTGGAATTAATAATGATTAAAGACTGCCTTCGTCCCTGCTCACCCCCTTTGCCCCAGGACAAATTTCCTAATACTGTTTGTGGACTTTTCTTCATATTTAGATATTTGATCTGGAACTGATATTCATATACTATATGAATGAGAGGGTTCTAAGTTTTTCTGCTAGATGGACAATTATGCCATATAATTTTTTTCCAGTGAATTAAAGTTCTCTTATTCACATATTACACATCTATATATTCTCAGATCTGCTTTGGAGTATTCTATTCACTTCCACCAATTGCTACGGCTATAATTATACCAACTCTAGTATATTTATTCTAATCTGGTAGGACAAGTATTCCTGTTTTTCAATATGTTCTCTTTCTTTTTTCCCTTAACT